TATATTAGGAATCGATTAAAAAATACACAATAGATAATTTTGCTATAATTGGTTTTTATTTACTGCTTCGTAAAATTTAAATATATGATCTTAAACTTTAAAAGAAAGAAATCCGGGAGTGTTAAACAAGTTTCCCAAACCGGGATTCGAGCCTGGGACCTTCTGCTGTCTATGCAGACGCCTTAACCATTTTGACCATTTCTTTGTTGTTACATCTGATTAGAAGTAACTGATATTTGATACTTGATACTCTTTTGGATGCGTAGCCGAACAGCGACAGCTCTCCATTCACTGCAATTAAGAGATGACAGGCATCAATATGATACACTCTTACCTTAAGCTCATCTGCAGCACTTATAGACGTCCATGACATGATATGACGTACTTCACGAGATCAAACCAATAACTGTTCGCCAAACCCCACCTCTTCGATATTGTTGCTCGGGTCCCAAATTAAACGACAGTGTAAACACACGTGAACACGTGTGTTTGTGTGACTTGTGCGTGTAATCCTGGCAGATTGGTCAGATATTAAGATTGGTTGGCACTCTGGAAAAGTCCATTGCAATACTTTTTGACTAATATGTTCCAAGACTCACTTCTAAAAGAATTGAAATTTGTCTCTCTCACTGCCCCGTTTATTCCATATACAACTGAATATTTAATAAACTTTATTTGTCATATATATATATATATATATATATATATATATACATACATATACATATATATTATATATACAAAATAATATATCATACACATATTATGTATATATATTATATATATACAAATATAGGCATATATATATGCCTATATGTGTGTATATATAATATATATACGTATATATATATATATGTATATATGATATATATATATACATATTTATGCTAGAATAAAGTGTATAACATCATAATCATAACAATCATAGTAACGATAGTCATAAAATCGTCATAACCATATCATCATTGTAATTTTCTTGTAAGTTTATGTGGGTATTAGCACTTGGTGAATCATAAGAGGTCTATCCCTCTGCCTTTTATACACTTCATTCTAGCATAATTCACATTTAATGCTATAAAATGATGTTAATCAAGGCTAATTTAAACATTATCGGTATTCTCATGATCCTTCGGGACCATAATGAAAGAATTAGCCGGAAAACGACTAGGTGAAAAATAGGCCAATTTTGGAAGAAAAAAAACGCAAAGGATATAGCTCATGTTTTTGTCGAAATTGGACGATTTTCTGATTACTTCTTGTTCTGTTGAACTAACATGGAACACAAAAACACTATCCATGTTTGGAAATTGCCACTTAAAACCTACATAACCTACAATAAAATGTAATTTTGGTGAAAAAAAAGACTAGGAGGTGAAAAATTTATTAATATTTTATAATATATAAGAAATATATATTACTGTATATAATAATTGTTAAATAGTATTTATTATATATTATGAATATAATATTATATAATGCTGAGACTGAATCGCTAATAAACAGATAAGGACACAGAAATGCAGATGTGCAATTGCTATGAATTTATTCAAGAAACACAATATAATGTATACAATTATATTTAAAATTATAATACACTTCAGATGTACTGTATTTATTAATTTTTATAGAATATACAATTTATTCATCACTGTATATGAACACAAACTGTACAAAATATACATGTACAATATTTGTTAAATCAATAACGTAACAAGAATTAACTCAAATATTTTAAAATCAACTGACATTGAACTACACTATTTAAACCAATTAAATATTAGATACATACACTATTGCATTATGCAGGTAGGTAGATTTATCTTATTACAAACTTAACCATGATTAGAATAGTAAAGAGTAAAATGGTTTAATGCAACATACAATCAAATTCTAAAGCAAAACATAAAATTATTAAAACGAGTAAATGCGTCTTTAAGCTGTTGGTGACACTAAACCAATGAGAGGCTCATATCTATCAACCACTGGCCGTGGCAGACCAAGGACTGGAAAAAGGGGGTGCTCGTCTCCAAGAGCAGCCAAAATAAATCACTTATCAAATTTGAATTCATTTAGGTAAAGTACTAAAATGGCTAAACATCTGAAGACCCCACAATAGGTAAGAAAACACCCCAAAATCTTCATTTTATATTTTATGTATGTATTTTAAATTAAATTACCATCTTAAATATTATAAAACAATTTTCCACCACAAGCTAATAACCATGCTTAACATAGCCTATTTTGATTGGTTGATAAGTTGCACATACATAGGATGTAATAACTATAAACAAACCACTTAATCAGATGATGAGTTTTGAATTAAATTTGCAATCAAATACAGCTGCTTTCCTACTTTGTATTGCTCAGTTTACACATCAATGAAATAAACAATATGTATTATGAAATACAAAAATATTCCTTTCTTGTTCAGTAGTACATTTATCAATTACCAGAGAGAATTATACTCAAGTTAAATTTCTAAATTGAAAGCATTTGGATTTATTTACATCATTAGGAAAAATATTTATAAAATTACAATTTTAAAAAGACACCACTAAAATACAAGCCATATCAGGATTAAAATTAGTTGATAAAAAATTAAACACTGAAAATTCAAAATTGATGCTCTAAAAAGCATCATTATGAGGATTAGGGACTTGTGAGCAAAATTAATACAAGATTTGAACCCAGGACTTTGGGATTGAATGGCAAGGTATCAATCCAAGTATTGGACCCACAATCCTATAATTGCGGCAAGCACCGCAAATCAGGTGCCTAAAAACTTGCTACACTGTTTCTTCGGCATTCATTAACACATTTACTGCCAGACCTTTTTTTAGGTTCCTTCCCGTGTGCCTAAACAAGTTCACATGTACAAAACATACTTTTTTAAAATTTTATATAGTCATATATCATCAAAATGGTGTGTCTTATAAATTGGCAGGAAATATTAGGGTTAACTAGTGCAAGCAAGTGTACTGCTGACAACATAACACAACAAACATATATGTGTTATTTGTACGTTATCGTCTAGGTGCATCTTCCCCGAATTACCAGCTGTTAAGTTTGTGGTTCTACTATGTAAAGAAGTAATAAACGCTAGAATTTTACCCCGACTTTAACGTGTATCGTTCCTAGCGCCCTCAGCAACACCCTGTGGGATGAGTTTATCATCAACTTGGTCTCCTCATACACCCGAACATTGCCTTGGTAATTATTATGAACAACTTCACTCAAAAATAGGATGTAATCCCGAGGGAATCCCTCCTTCTTAGCACCCATTGTGATCACTTCAATATCTGTCTCTTATACACATCTAGATGTGTATAAGAGACAGGTTCATAACCTCTAGATATATTTCAGTTGTTTCCTTAGAGCCATTGTCCTCAATTGATTTCAAAAATGTGATGTACTCCGGGGGTAACTGGTTCTGCACGGCGCCCCTGATAATAACATCCAAGTAATTTGGGTGTGGTGGAACATGGGAACACATGTCCTGCATCACGTACGTTCGACACGTTAAAATTTCTCCAGTGTTCACTTTGGTATTGACTTCAATTCCATCATAATTTGATTCTTGTCTGAAAAATTCAATAAATAAAATTTAAAACTTCTTTATCGTATTACTACATTACTCACAGGTTTGGTGATAAAGCACTACAACATTTGGACAGAAGTAAAGATGGAATCTAATTGAAATAAATCAACCAATTGTTGAATATTTGTAGAGTGCCAGACTCCACCACAAGTAATAAAGTGTGAAGAAATAATTGATAAAAATGGCGGGATTGTCTGGTGAAATATGGTACTTAAAACCTGTTTGGAGTTTTTAAATTGGACAGAAACATTTGGAATAAGCATGTGAAGGCATCAGCACAACCTGGAGGTCGATGGAGGTCAGGTTGGTAGGTGTAGTTTGCCTGGGAAAGCAACAGCAAGAGAGTGAAGCATTCTGGAATAGATTCCTAATTATCAATTCACTCAACCATATAAACATATTATGTGCAGTTCACAAAATGCAAGGCAATGCGATCAGGCAACTAACGGACAAAATTAATGGAAAGCCCTCAGAAAACTAACACTCTGGAGTTTGCGGGCAGGTTAGAGGATAGTGAGTTAGACAAACAACACATCACAGTAGCGGATCCAGAAATACAAAATAGAGGTGGGGGGAGGGGAATTCAAAATAGAGGGGGTTTAGACTACCTCAGCCTTAACTAGATTTAAAATTTATAATTATGGCACTGCTAGATGGCCGGAATGGTACTCTCAGATCTGAATTTGATTATTTTTCCTTTCTTTCTCCGTTTCCCTTTTTTTTTTTGTTTTTTGAAAAAGGGGGGGGGGGGGGGGGAAGGGGAGCCGTGCTGGCTTTTCCCCACCTCACCCTTGAATCCGCTACTGCATCATTTGTTGACCTAAAAAAAACATGTAAGCAGAAGCAAGATGATGGGTGACCTAATATATAATGATTGTTGAAATAAATATAATATAATCAATATATATTGTTAAATATAATATTAATAATAATCAATAAAGCAAACATGTATAAAGTGCCAATTATTTTACTTTATTGAACATTTTAATATTGTAAATTACTACAATGCATTATGATAATGCTTTTATTGTATCTTGCTATTGCCTGGAGTTGTTTTTGTTTTAAATATTTCACTCAATGCCATTTTAGTGTATATTTTTATATATATGGAACAAAAGCTTTTTATAAAATTTTAATGGCCCGAAAATATACTCACTGCTATTTCCATATTGGAAAAATAAAAATGAATCTGAATCTATTATTATACTAAAATATAAAAAGATGCTGTTGAATGTTAAAAAGGAGCCATTTTAGGCCTTGCATTAAAGATATCAACTGATGTTGAGTTATCACTAGCTCAAAATTAATGTTCTACGATAATGCAATATATTGTCACAGTACACAAAGGCTAAAAAAAAACAAAACAGTGAGCCACAAAAACATAGACCAAAATGTCAGCGCAGATGCACAAAAGCGTAAGCCACAAAGCGTTGACACAAAACTTGTGGACCTCAACATTTCCAACCACAGCATCAAAGACCATAATAGCACAGACCAGTAAATTATGAGCCCACGTCAACGTTGAAAACAATTTCACAGACCACAAAATCGTGGATCAAAATATCCAACTACAACTTGGTACCTTCCTTCCGTACGCATTCTAAGTGATTATGCATCTCCTAGTTTTCTTTTCACAGTTTTCTAAGTCCTTTATCATCAACTTGGTCTCCTCATACACCCGAACATTGCCTTGGTAATTATTATGAACAACTTCACCCAAAAATAGGATGTAGTCCCGAGGGAATCCCTCCTTCTTAGCACCCATTGTGATCACTTCAATATACTGAGGGGATGGTTTCAGAGGAATACATCTCTCCAGGTAATAGGTATACACTGGTAGGCCTTCTCCATGGGGGGTAATGACAGCCGTTTCAAAACGTAGGTAAATGCGCAGGTGAACTCCAAGCTGACTGTATGTAAATGTTATGTACAAAGTATGAAGAAAAATTATTAATAATGATGATTACAAAAAGTTTACTATTATGATAACAGTCCCTATAATACTCTAAGAAACTAAAAAGTTGATAAAGTGATCAGAGAAAAATACCTACGACATGTGAACAGAAGTCTTATTGATAATTGAAATAACAACAGTCTTATTATTACACCTTAGACCAAACTTTCTTTATACCTTGTTTAGCGAACTCGCCGCCCGCCAATAACATGATTTTGATTATTTTTGGCAAATTTTTGAACCCGCCGCAACAACAAAAAAAGAAAAATTTTGCTTTATTTTCATTATACCTGCTGCTGCCTTGAAATCTTAAATTTCTTCTCAATAATATATAAAGTTAAAGCATTTAAACATGCCATAACAACACTGTTTACATTCAACAATAACATTTTATTTTTATATTTGCCTCTGACTGGATGTTTTTGGGCAAAAAAACATTTTCTATATAGGAAACAAAATTTTTTTTTTTTTTCGCGTAACAAGGTATAAAAAAGTCTCGCCTTACGGTTACCTTGTATTATCAGAGAGGACTTTATATACTATTGTAGTTAAAAAAGATATGGGAAATGATGATTCAAAGCTACTAAATATTTTTTGCATATAGTATTATTATTATTATATTAGTAAATCCTTGCCAAGCCACAGGTTCATATAGGCTGGAACTTTGTACCTCCAGTTTCAACAAAATCCATAAGATAAAATAATTAACTTAAATATAAATCAATGAACTATGTTATTTATGTACAGGTCACTGACATATTTAACCATATTATTCTAATCGTATTCTGTGCAGAGTTAACAATGGTAAGCAATAACTATGGTACCCCCTCCCTCAATTTTAAATGAACCCTGCTCATATTTACATCAACAATACTCCAAGATATTATGTTAGTGGGCCTCATAGAAAATGCCAAGGACTGGAATGTTAGCATAAAGTATTGTTTAAAGTTTGAACAGAATGCATGAGAAGTGCAGTACATAGAGGCAAATAGAAATCTGTGGCCAGCGAATTGCTGAGAGATGTCACAGTAAACATAAATATTGTGAATTTTAATGTCTGGCATTTACCACAGCTTTTATGGGGTTTTTTTTTATGGTAGTCAGATTAAAATATATCAATATCTATTTAAAAATTCTGTATCCTACTAGGTAATGAAAACTTATCATTCTTACAGATCAAGTGTTTGTAGATGACGCCTGTTAAGTTTCCAAACAACACCCCAGACGTGATCCCCTGGTGAATGCTCAATGGTAGCCACACCTCCTTTCCATGCCGAACTTTTCCATGCCCTTTGCTGCCCAAACACTAATTTATAATCCTGGGGAAAAAGTTAAAATATCATATAGTTACTTGATTATTCAAATCAAATTCTTAATTTTATTTAACTCAAGTAGGAGACTGATAGGTAACAGGAACAGGTCCCTGAACAACATATAACTATTGAAGAATAAATAGCATAAAATTAATAATAATACTGTGAAGTGGATAGAGGGCTTAACAATATGCGCTATATAAGTCTACCATTATTATTACCGTAAAACCTTGAATTGAAACAAAATAAAAAATGTTAACACGCTTGGTTTATACAGTAGCTTAGGTGATTTAATGCCGGTTAATACATGAAACAGATTGATGTCACAGTGGCCTTACTTATGTTTTATAGTACTAATTCCCAAAATTTACAGCATTCGTTTTGCCCCACTCTATACTTTGCAAAAGTAGCCTCGAAAAGAAGCCCATCCGAAGTTTAGAAAAACAAAGAAGCCCAGAGCTTCAATTGGAGTTTTCATGTATGTTTAGCCACCACTAAGCTATAGTGAAACATGGAGTCAACTGACCCATTCAATATTGTTATTGTCAATTTTCTTGAATTATCATTGAAGATCATAAGAGCGTAAACCCTTCTTCATGCATAATTCATGATTGGTCTTGCTTTGATGAGAATAATCAATATTGTTACTTATTGTAAATAGTTCCAATCAATATCTACAGTTATCAGTTCAGAAACCATAGAATTCAATGTTGAAAATTTAAGAAAAAAATGAAAACAAATACACTACAAAAATTAGCAATACTCTGACTTAGGTTTCAGTAAAGGTACAATACACTCGCCACTGAGGAAGGTCTAGTGTTGTCTGAAAGCCCTGGCTGCTAGTTCTGGCTGGTTTTAGCTGTTGCTTAAGCTATCATTCCTCCGGGGTTCTTCATCTTCCGTATGCAGAGTTGGATGAGCCGTTTCAAATCTTCTATGATGTGGATAACAAAAGGAGTCGTGTTGATTTCTACAATGGTATGGTAGCAATCAGGTTTTAACAAAATTCTAAAGAAAACAACAAAAAAATGCATTGCACTGCTAATGTATAATTATGCCTTTGGAACAATTAATATTAATTGTTGATTTTAGTTATTTATTTTCTGTATTGTATTTATTATTATTGATAAATATATTATTTACTATATTTACTATTTTTAATATAATTTATATATATATATTTATATAATATATAAATATATATTTTATATATATAAATATTTATAAATATATACATATATGTATATATATATATATATATATATACAATGTAGATAAATAATTTTATATATATAAGTACAGTATATATAAAAATATAACAAATTGTTGAAAATTATTGAAATTGGGTGAGTTTTTAATTAAAAAATACTTAAATTTTATTAATTTTTAATGCAAATTTAAATAATATTCCTTTTAAAAAACATACACATTACCTCAAGTTTTGCTATTGTTAAGAATGTTGCTGACGGATTCTTGAGTAGAAGCCTCTCCCTTAGTAGATTGCTGCCGTAGCTAAAATACAAAAAAAATCCCTTACGAAAAGGTCGGAAATCTTCCTCGTAAGACTTTTGCTGCATCGATTTTTCTGAGGCTTCATCACTTTCGGACACTTGCAGCTCAAAAACCGGGCCTTCTGCCTCTGGATGCTCACCTGATTCCATTTCGCTATAAACAAAATTAATAAAAGTACCGTATATTAATGACTACAAGCAATGCCACATCATACAGGGCATATCTCTGGAATACTGTACCCAGAATTAGTTTTCCTCTAAGACCCAGAGAGCCTAGATGACTTGGTTGGGCACAGGGAAGTGCTCTTGTGATTGTCAGGGGTTGAAGGTCTCATCATCATTACAAAGGTTGTAGGTGCTGGGAGAAGCTTTGTTCAATTGTAAAAGAGATTTCGGACAAACCATAAAAACTCCATGATTTCCCACTAACTCTACTCAGTTTATTTCCACTGCAATTCAAAAACAAAGAATGTGTTGAGCAGTATTTCAGCTTAGGCAAGGCTTTTTTATACCTTGTTTAGCAAACCTGTCGCATGCCAATAATGATGAATTTGGAAAAAAAATATTTATAGTTTTGGTCAATTAGCGCACTGGTCGCCACGTAAAAAATGGAAATTTCAGAAAAAAAAAAGTTTTATTTTTATTACACCTGTTGTTGTACTTGTATATATATTTCTTACTAATTATATAAATTTAAAGCACTAATTAAACCATCCCATTACTACACTGTTTACATTTAACAATAAAATTTTATTTTTATTTCTCCTTCGTCTGGATGTTTTTGGCAAAACCATTTGCTAAATAAGAAAACAAAATTCTTTTTTTTCCTGCGCTCTTTTGACGATCTTTAAAAAAATAAGTTTGCAAAAAAAATATAAAAAAAGTCTGGCCTTACAAAGTACAAGTTATCAAATCACTTTGTGGCTTTGACTAAATAAGCTCTACTCACTTATCTATTCAATAAATGCTGCGCCACCTCCCCAGAAAAATTATGGATCCACCCCCCTGACTCCTCTTCACACAGGAGTATTAATGGCTAGCCAGGTGATATGAATGATTTGTAATGAAATTGAACATTGCTTAATTACACTCATGACTAGGAGTACTCCTCAGGGATTGGAAATTGCATGCTCTGCATGATGGATTTTGTATCCAATGAAAAAGTGCATTCAACCAAAATGTGTATTACCATCAACAATATAGCTCAGTATCCTTCAGTGCATTCTGACAAGTTTTAAACCAATCGGAATTGCTAAATTCCATGAGTTACCGTGGAAGCGAAGAATTAACTGCAAAAATCCAATAAATGCAATATCTACACTACCACCAACATAAAAACACAGGCAAATTAGCCCCTCTGGGGAAGCTATTACAGTATAAAGAAGTCAATTGATATTACCACGTTAAATTACCACGGTTATATAGGACAAATGATAGTGCCAGTAGGACTGCAAACCTAATACATACGATACGGCACATTGAAGATACTTTCACTTAGTATTTTATCAAATGAATTCCTATAATTAATAACAATACCATAAATATTATTATAAGTCAACCATGATGTCACCACTGCAACTTTCAATGTTTTTTCTTATCTGCAACCATGCACTAATTTTTCATTATTGCATGGTTCGCTTGATCTTTTTTAGGTTTGTTTGAAAAACCCCAATTCATATCGCACACCATGACCCTATCTCACCCTATCAATTAATAAAAACTGATAAGGGAGGGAGGTTTTTTTTTTTTGCTAACCGTTTTTTTTTCTTGCTAACCCCGCCCCGATTTTACCGATGTTCACAAGCAAATTAAAAGTCATAAGAATGGAATCAAATTTATATTTAAAAAATATGTTTTGTTGTATCAGTAAACATATCTACAAGAAATTCTGAGCTTTTCAAGTGAAAAAAGATTAAGAAACGGCCGTTTGAAATAAAAATATATGTTGATTGAAAAAAAAAAAAAATATCTGAATTTCCCCAAAAGTGATGAGCGAGGGGGTGATAAACTAATAATATTTTTTATGGGGCCTTATATTATTTTTTAGTATAACTATTTTTATTATTTATTTTTATATTATCCGAATTATATATTCTATAATTATTATATTATTATTATTATTATATTTATTGTTATTATCATTTTAGTATTATTATTATAATTATTAATATCATATTGTATATACTGTAGGCCTAATAATTATTCTTTTTACTTATTTTTTATATTATCTGAATTATTACTAGTCCCATTAATTATTTTTTAGAAGAATCTTAACATACCTTTATTAAAATAATGTATATTTGGATGAATATAAAGCAAAACAAAATACATGGATTTATTCAGGTATATTTAATTCAAACTGGCTACATACAAAGTTTTTTTTTTAATTCACGATGGAAAAGTGAATGGAGGCCTGCTGTTTTTAAATTTTAGGCTGGCTGCCCCAGGAGGGTTTTTTTTTTTGTTTCTTGTTTTTTGTTTAAAATAAATCTAACAATTTGGAATTAAACAGTTGCACTACTGTAATTATTTCTGGTAAATAATTTTTTGGGAAACTGTTTATTTCAGATTCGCAACAGCCAATGTTTTCGATGAACATAGCACCTGACAGTAATAGTCAACTATTCATTTCACAAAACTCTTTTAACCTGCCTTCTTGAATAACCGAGTTGGTTTGGGGACGAGTTGGTTTTGGGCCGAAGTGTCCTCTGGGGTCGAGATGGTTTTGGTCCGAGTTGGTTTGGGCCGATTTAGTTTTGGGCCGAAGTGACCAGCATTCTACTAGACACAGTACTGTAGTGATACTCCTCTGCATTTACCGGTACTACTACATTTACTACCCACCACGTAGCCCCTGCCTAGGCCTATTGAATCGCTGGTTTGCCTGTGGTGGATTCTCTTGGAATAGGCCAATACTAATAGGCACATATGTAATTTAGAATCAGATTCCAAAATTATTTGTGAAGCATAGCTACCATTTACTAGGCTTAGAAGACTTTCAATACTTACATCAATCCTCCTGCAGAAAATGTAAAAGGTGTCCCGTCGTACCGTACAGCTCATCAGTACAGTACAGTACGTTGTTGTGCGTTGTTGATCAACCAATGAGGGACTTCCCCTATAAGGAGTTTTAGGTCCACGTTGGAAAAAAGAGGCGTGGTTACGTGCTTGCTTCTCTCCACATTAGTCTACTGTAACTTGGGCGAGGTCACCAGGGATCGGATATGTTTTCATACATCACATAATGAAAACAAAACTGGAATTTTAAAACCTGGTAATTAATTTTTAATGTACTGTACGTTGATAACGATGAACAATCTGATATACTGTAACCTAGCTCATATTTCACATTGGTGGTGTAGGCACCAAGGCGCTACCGTAGGCCCCAGGGGTATATCCAGGATTTTTTCTGGGTGGGTCGTGATCACAATTTTTTGGACCTTTTCACAATGAAATAATAGCAAGATGTGATTCAAATGTCAATAAAAAATGTTTTAAATAGAAATTGCTGCCGAATTGACACAGACTAAGGACGTTCATTCCTTGGTGAAACACATTATAGGCACTGATACCTATGAGCAGTTTAAAGTCTAATTTAATAAATGAGTACTAATCCTGGTACCTCATCAATGATTTTTCACAAAATGTCTTTGGAAAAAATGTGAACCTTTGAAATTTTAGGGGGATCGTACGACCTTTCCGAACGCCCCCCCCCCCTGCATATACCCATGGGCCCTACAGCTTTAATTGGGTTTGATTTTAATTGATGTATTTATTTATTTCAACGAAATTGTACAACAGTAACAAACACAAAACAAGTCGTGGTGCGGCCAGATGCATCAATATGCCTAAGTATTACAATAAATAATTTAGATATACAACCCCCCCCCCCACACCTACATTTCCTACATTCCCGGTACTACAAACATTTAAACGATTTGTTTAAATGAGTTAACTACATTTAGATAACTGATTTTACATTTTCATATTTCATAATTTTACCAATTGGACCTATAGATAGGCCTATTCGTCAAGTTTAGAGTGCACTCTAACAATTATTACAAACATAGGCCTACTGTGAAAAACAACTAAATTATTTGCTTTTATTTGCACACTGTTTTGATAACAGTATTCAGACTCGGAGACTTCTCAATGCCTGTCTCTTATACACATCTAGATATGGTTTCGATATATATATAGGCCTATGCATTATGCCTATATTATACTAAGGGCTATATATTGAATGCTGTATTGCTTATGGAATAAAACCATTTTTTTCTCAATCTTTACTTGCACATTTTTTTAAAGATCTTTGCGCAACGATTATTATATCGTTTTTCTGAACATGTCTTTGAGCTTGATCCGCCATTGAAACGCACTAAATACGTAAGTTAAATATTACTGTTATCAATCTTCTGCAACTTTCGTCTGTCATCATAATATTATTGTTTATCCGGAATGAAACCAGGTCTAATTGTATTTCGGATCTCTTGAACAAAAAAGTTATGTAACATAAAACAGGTTATGACAATCAAAATTGAACTTAACTGAGCTACTGTAGTTAAAATATACAGAAATTTATATTTATATACAGGATATATTAATCTTCATTGTGGTGAAGTTGCAATTATTATGTCACCAGAGCACGAGTGCCTGTTAACGTGTATTAATAGGTGTTTTCGCCGCACGACGTTAACCTTAACTTTAACATTAGTAAACAACATGCAGCGCGATAGCTACGGAAAATCCTGAAATTAACGTACTCCGCAACGCAAGATGAATAAATTATGACGTCATCCGTTAACGTTAAGGTTAACGTCATGCGGCGAAAACAGCCTATTGTAATAACGATGTGTATTTATAGCGTTTGGATCGAGTGAAGTTAATGAGATGGGTACGGACACACCGCGCCCCCTTATTCTTCAAGACAGACCTATACCTGGAGTATATTCTATGCAAACATGTGCTAAAGACACAGTTATACCAGCCTTGCACACACGGGGTTGAGTACTATGGTAAGTTACATTAATTGTATTTATGGAGATGATTTTTAGGTTAGCCAATTGTTCAATATAAATGAGTTCACAGTGTGATGTTGTCCCATACGTCCCAATGTAAATGCCAGACTCTCACCAATCTCACCCCCGACAAAGCAGAAGTCACAGTGATTTACTCTAATTAATTATCACAATATTTATTACCTACTTAAATCTATGAGATATTCTAAAGGTTGGAGGAGAATTAACAAGTAACGAAAATGATTGAATTTTATGTATCTTTTAGAAATTAGAAAACTTTTCCTGTTTTGCCGACGCTCTGAAAGACATGGCTTAGCTTATATAATAAATTATAATAAAACTGTTATCCATAGAGTAAAGAAATTAATCAATCTTTTTTTGCAATAAGGTTTAAAGGACAAGACTCTGGACCGAAGACTCTTGAACAAATGTTTGAACAAAGTTTCAGGAATGCGTCGCTTTCGGACATTTTTAGTCGGCACAGCAGGAGAACGAGGCTATGAATTCTGGATTGATGCCGAACGCTTTCGGAAGACTGCAAAGGATGACAAGGAGCGGAGTCGTGAAATATTTCGGGAAATATCCGCAAAATATTACAAAAATGGCGGAGTATTGGAACTTTGTGATGAATGGAAGCCTCTTCCAGGTAGGATTTGTCCAATCCAAATTTTGAAAAATATAAAACAATTTGGACAAGCTCTTGACTTGTATCCATCAATAATATATTAAATTTACTTAAACATTAGAGTTCATTACTTGTATACATTAAAAGCAGGTTTTTCATTCAGAATTTTATCCAACTCTTATAAGCCTAAACAATGATGCAAAATTTTTGTCAATTTCTGTATTTAGAGATGAAGAATCGACAACGTGATAGATCGTCTGATGGTGTTAGCTGCACTGAGCTAGCATCTGAATCTGATGATAATTCTCATAGTTCAATACTAAACGCATTTACCGTCGTGCAGGGCTTTATCCTAAAATCTCTACAGAATTACTGGGTTCCACGATTTCTTATCAGATGCAAATCTACTTGGGTGAAAAATCAAAAAGGTAGGCCAATGACTCTATCAAGTTGTTCAAAGCATAATATGTCCATACAATTTTAGCTTTGAGTTGACAGTTTTTATTTACGTTGTAGTGGACATAGATACCGTTTACCAGCCCGATTGCTGTGTAATTCACGTGAGAAGCCTATCTGAGCTAAATGTCGAAAGTGAAGAAGGAAAGAAGCACGAGGACCTGCCAGAGAACATCAAGTTAGCACGTTCCGCCCGCAAAACGCACCTCAAAAAACAAAGCGTCAACAACCTACTCTCAATGTTTACATCCTCAAGCATCCGACGTTCCGAACTGGCAGCCATGTTGAAATTAGAAGATACAGGAGAAATTACAGCATCTACAAATGTCAATAAAGATCAGTATGAAGAGAATGAATGGAATACGGGTGATGGGTTTCCACTGCCAACGATATCTGAAGAAAATATTGAAGAGATCGAACCAACCCCTCCACCGTCAGAAGACGAATCTTCTCAAAACCTCTCCGACGAGTGTCTTGATGATGACACCTCAGATACAGCAGTAAAACACATAGAATTAGACGTTACCCATAAAGGTGGGTGGAATTAGTACCGTTCGATTACCAAACCCATGTAGATCCATAGTAGTGTGCATTACATTCTTTAATAACAAAAGTTTAGCATTTCAATACGTTTTTTTTTGTTCAGAGGAAAGAGCACCAGTTTTAGAAATTTATCAAAACCGTAAGCCAAAATCTATTGATCCCACATCAGATACTGTAGTAAAGCACGTTGGAAATGAAGGTGGGTGAATAGAATATTACTTTTCGATTCACACAGAGGCCAAAGTAGAACCGTATTACAGTAGTAAATAGTGAGTATTACATTCTTGTATTAACAAATAAACTGTGTTTTCGATGTTGTTTTCAGAGGATAGAGTACCTCTATTAGAGATTTCTCAAAGCAATAAAGAAACACATGAAGATCAAGAGAGTCATGTGAAATCTAGCGAAACTTATGATGATACAAAAGTTGACGTTGCCGACAAGGAAGATGCTGAAAAAAAAATTGATAACGAAATATTCAATCAGTATCACGAACGGTTTAAAAAGATGGCCCAGCGCAGACGACAGAGCTTCGCTGCTCCTGAGTTGATAGACAATGCAAGTTCATCCAGCATGCGTCGACTTTCATCATCCGGCGTATCTGCATCGTTGAGAAGAATGTCAACGGGTTCTTTTACATCAGAAAAAACAGAAGTTACGGCACCAAAGGCAGCTCTAGTGCCAAAGAAGAAGAGGTATAAACCACAGAAAAAACACCGAGCTCAGTCTGTCGAGTTCAGACTCGGAGACTTCTCAATGCTTATGCAATCTTTGACAACCAATGATTCTAGCGTTACAACAGCCGAGGAGCCCCCCGATGCTGCTAACACAGGAAGGAGAAATAAAATAAAGAAACCTATTGTTGATCCTTCCCTTGAAGATGCGCTGAAGCTTGGTCTACCTCAACTTCAGGCAGACATTCTGGCTCTTCAGAAATTTAAGGAAGATGGCTCGAAGAAAAAGAAGAAACTAAAAAAGAATGGAGGTGAAAGTAATGAAACGTCTACAAAAGGAGGTAGAAATTCAGATTACAATACGTCTGGAGGCAGGAAAAAATCATCGGGACGCAGAGGAAGCGTGCTGGAGCCCTTGACGAAAGCCAATTTGACTCGTTTGGAGCAACTTGCCGCCAAATCCAATAGATCTACTTCCTCCAAAAATATTAGGAAAGGTGAGAAGCATAAGTTGCCCGAGATTAGTTTGAATACCAGTAGTTCAATATCGACAGACAGTATTAAGCGAACACATGAGAACCAACCTGATTTAGAAGATACCGTGGTTTGTGCGTTACCTAGTCTGACAAGTAAATCTGAATTGAGCGCATTTCCCCGATTCTCTGTAACTGAACCATATTACGTCAATTGGAACTTGAGAAAAATTGTTAGCAAGAATGTTAAGTTGAGCATAATCGATACAATATTTTCCGACAGTCTCGCTGGAGGACCATTTGAAAACTTTCTACGTCGTAACGGTCAACAACAAAATGTCAACTTCCTAAATTTCTGGCAGAAATCAGAAGAATTTCTGAGCACAACTGTTTGCCGTTGTGATATTAGAGGACGTAAAGTTCGGTACCTAATAGCAATGGATATTAAGACGGCGTACCTGGCAACTTCAAGCATCAAGCGCATACAACTTGGAAACCAATTAATTCAAAGATTGTCGGAATACCTTACACTGGATAGTTATGTTGCAGACGAACTTGTGCGATACGTGCAAGGCCTAGTGTGCGAAAAGTTGAAGGAGGCGCTGCTATTGTTTCGAAAATACGACAGAGAAGATTTTCTTAACCGAACGGTATAGTTGGCTTGCTAGGCTTTATTATCTAAATTATGTAAAACAATTAGTGTAGGCATAATGCTGCAAATCAAATAATAAATTTATTTGCTCATAATCTGTGATCACTATCAGAGATTGTATTGTTTTGTTTACAGACAAGGAAGAAGGCCGATCGGTTTTGGATGAAGAGAAATGAACAGGAGACGTCAGTTTTTTCCTCAAGCATAACCAGTCTACAACAACCACTTCAAAAAGATGCCATAGCGACAAAGGCTACTGATGCCATATCTGCGTCATCAAAGACAGACGACGACAATTTAGGTTTCTCTGATTCACTTGCTCCTCGTAGAATGATTAAAGCCTTTAATCTCGCCAAGGGTTTTTTGCAACACACTAGTAAGTTTTTAGATATTGGGGTGGTTTTGAGTGACTTTTAGCATCTTTTCCCGTAATTCATTAGTACCATATTGTTGTTTGCGTGTCAATAATGACGTATTCTTTTGTAGAACATTATATCCCAGCGTCTTGCTTTTAACGAGTTTATTTTATTACTTTAATTTTCAAAGAACACGAAAGTATGATGTTTTTAAGTATTGTGGCAACACTGCTTTTGCTTTCAAAATGTTCGATATAAATTATAAATAATTCTGTAAGGCGATTGTTTGTATAGGAAATTTTGAAGAAGACAGTATGGCCAACTTGTCCGATCCTGACAGTGAGAGTGACGATGAAGGCAGTTTAAAACCCAAAAAGATCAAAGTTATTCGCAAACGTAAGTTTTATTAGAAAAAAGCCCATCTGCCGTATCCCTGACGTAGTTAGGTGATGTCAGGGCAACATTTACATCATCATAAAACCCTGTCCATACTTTCAAATATTATTTGACAAAAACGTGTGACTTGCCTAAATATGGTCATGATGACATCACCTCATCATGACTATATACACGGCCATACAACAGTTTTTTGTCCAAGGAAATTTCATAATCTGGACAGAGCCTTAATATAATACCCATCATCAACGTTCGATGTATTGTAGTTCCTACATGGAAATATGTTTTCGTCAGCTTCTTAGCTCAATATACAACATTTGTAACAGTAATATAAACATACTACAAAATGTAAGGTAAGTCAATTTATACATAGTTGTAAAGAGAAATATGGTTATGAATTTGGTTATTGTATAGAAATATATTATCCTCATCGTCATATTTGATGCCCTTCGTTGTATTTGTCTTTAGGAAAACAAGAAGTGAAATTTATTGACGAGATAGGAACAATGGAATATAAAGGTGAAAGTCAAAAAGAACCAATAGTTCGCCGTGTAAGCATACAGAGAGGTCTTAGATCGGAATCTAGAGACATGTTGAAGGCTAGCCAGTCTACATTCAAAACCATTAAAAAGAACGGAAAGAATATCCAAAGACCACCCCAACCTAAGTAAGATTTATGGAGATTTTGCATTTTGCTGTGTCAATTTGTGATTTTTTTTACAATATTTCTAACATAAGCCACGTGCACGTAAAATTAGAACGCAGTGTCGTACGACATTTAAAAAATGTACACGTCGTCATCCGAAACTTGAAGACGGTATTAATAACATGATCTTAATTTTGTTAATGCAGATCTTTTAACGAAATCCTTCGGGACAGTTCCCAGCTCGAGTTCTTCAAACGATTCCTCGCCCGTGAGAAGAGCGACACACCTTTACTATTCTGGCAGGCCGTAGAGAACATGAAATCTAGTTGTAAAGATGCGAAATCACGACAGATTAAGACAAACCAGATTGTACGGAAATTTTTCAATAAATCAACTGCGAACGGTAACTAAATTTGCATATGCTTTAATACAGAACTATAAATTATTGTTTGTTCTATCGTAACCATGTATTCAATAACAAATTATTTGAAAAAAAGAAAAGCAGCAATTTGTTTCCATTATTGTTTTAGGTGCAGCATTACAGTGTAACGCTGAAATAATAGAGGACATCCCGTATCTCGACAAGGTGACGCCTCAAATGATTATGTCAGCCCAGGTGTGTGTCGCTAAAAGCATCGAGGAAAATTGGTGAGCACTATTCAAAGTTCGCTTAGGCCTCCAAATACTTGAAGTATACTTCATTTTATCTGTTATTGTCTAATAAGATTAACAAAATTGTAAAAAAAAATAACAAAATAAATCACTCGAAACCAAACGAATTTTCTAGGTTTGAACTATACAAAGACTCGTTCCCGGACGAAGAAATTGTTACGTCCGACGATTCGGCATTTACAACAAGAGCAATGGAGCCTGGACAGAAGACTGTAAGCAACATTAAAAGACATGCATCATAACCATCCCCCCCACCCCACCCCATATCATCATCATTGTCAACATCGAGTCCTCATCGTCTTCATCATCACGCTGAAACTTAGTAAATATAGAACACTGAATGTTTTCAATTTTCCAAAATGTCACTTCAGTTACTGCAATTCGTTGTATGTTGACGTTATTTCTGTTTGCTTTGTCAGAAAGCCTTGTGGGGAATGTTCATCAGTAACGTCGTAAGTTTTAGGCGAGGATTAATGAATCCATTAATGCTGGAATTATTTGAGAAGTTTGTGCTGAAAGAAGTTCACAAAGAACTTGAAAGTAAGAACATTTGATTCACTTATTGGATGACGTCATCATCAATTTTATTCTGCACTGTAACACCATGTCAATAGTCACATGGTATAGTGAAAACCCTGATTTAAATATTAATACTTCCAAATAATATGTAACAAAGGTACCGTAAAATGCTAGGGTTAAAAAGGTAAACTAACAACTTATTTTACAGGTAATTTACTATATTAAAATTTTACTAATGATACAATAGTTCTAAAAAGCAATAACATTGGCAAGATTTAAACTTACATTCTCAAAGAACAAGAAAGTAAAACTAGTCCTCCAAATTATGGGCCAATGGATGTGTTAGATATCTTCGAGTATGAAGGCATATACATTTTGGTTTAACACAAGTTTAAGTAATTTGTTTCTATATTTTCAGAGCAAAGGCAAACGGGTATCCAATCAAAGCGTGTAATATGTAACAAAGTTGTGATTGTTGAGCGCATTCAGAACGATCTTAGATTCTTTGCAGAGGTAGAAAGGTGAGACGAAGTAAGAGTATGAAAGTTTCGCACCATAAGCAAAAAACGGTCGATCTAGGTGGAGATGGATTTGTTGGCCGACAAATGCATGTCCACCTTGAGTTCTGTATGAGAGGGTTCATTGTATTAGCAACATAAATATCATGGTCATAGTTGCTCGGTCCGAATGCTAGGTTACCAATTGATAATTTTTTACACTTACACGTACATATACAGTATTTCATTTCAATATTGTTTGATGTTCATAGGTATAAACAATTAGCCGACAGTGCTGCAAAAGCGGCTGCGCAAGGAACCTACAACATCGACGACGAAGAGTTTGTTCAACTGAAGGCACGTGCGATAATAAACAGCTACATTGATTCCCAAGTACCTCCGAAGTTACAAGTGAGTTTAAGTTGACTTTTATTTCTGAACGGAACGATTCGCACATAATTACATATTATGCTCTCTCCATCATTGCGTTCGTAGCAATCACTGACAAATTCGTTAACCTATGCCATTGTGGAAGCAAATACAATTTTTCTTGGACTTTGAAAATGAATTACAGATCAACATTACCCAAGAACTAGCGGATCAGATTGTGGACACCGCAAATAATGGTTTGATAGAGCGAGGGCTGTTCCACGAAGCCACACTTTCAATATTTGCAGTTATCCTTTACTGCTGGAAAAAGTGAGTTAAATAATAACCTATTGAATATTTTACTTTGTAGGTGATTTTCACTTGGCGGGCATTGAGCTCATGATGCTATCCATATGAAGTTCAACGATTTTCTAAATACTTTTAATAGCCACAGTGCTGGTAAAATGCTGAGCTAAGAATCCGTCTTTTTATTATACTTGCCGAAACCCTCGATTCCCGATTGGTTAATGCATGGGTAGCTACTGCGTACCTCATGGAGAAAATAGCTGATTTTGAATAAGTTGTTATAACTGCCTCCCATTAACAATAAGTTGTTAGTGGCATGCAGCCGTATATCGGTGCAAAATAAAAATTATTTACATTACACAACCATGGAGAAAGAAATGACACAACATGTAAAATAGATCCTAATTATTAATTTACATAGTGTACAACATTTGCATCATTATTTCCGTAATTTTTTTAAGGTTTTGCAGAGAACGATGCACTCCAGGACGTATGCACTCACATGTATCATCATCCACTACACCTGAAGCTGTTAAAACTAAAATTAAACGAAAGAAATCACCATTAAAGTACAAGAATGGACAGTACATATTGAAAGAAGTTATTGGGCCATCAAGTAAGACCATTTTTAACGTTTCATCACGATCCTCTGTTTCATCTATTTGTGTCATGTGCCGCGTAAAGCCTGGGTTTCTTTAAAATCGCTACACTGTCGCTAGTGATTTCAGTGCAATCGTTGTAGTGCGTAGCAGCTGAGTCCCCGACGCAATCGGGAAGGATCCCCGATTCGACCGACCAATCAGCATCAACGAAAGCTGTTGTCGATAGCGTGTAGCGATTGTATGGAAACCAAGCTTAAAGCCGGTTTTCCACTAGACGAATTTATTCGCGCGAATGGAAAGCGTCGTCTCATGCGCATGCGCATTCACATTTCTATCGGAGTTTTTGCTAGCGAAAAAATGCGCAACCAATCAGAACTCAGAAAGCGAACCGACGCTTTGATTCGCACGAATAAATTCGCCCAGTGGAAAACCAGCTCATGGCCTCCTTATACTTTGCACTGCTGTCTATATTTTGTATCTTTTACTCCTACTTTTCCGTGTACCGCCTGTCTGTCCTATAATACTCTTATTTTACAATGCTATTTTAGTGGACGAACCGCCGAGGATAACATTTACTCTACAACACGGTTTGCAACTGATCTTGCCGCCAAAACCAAAGGTTGAAGTAAACGAAAAGTACCGTAACATGATGCGTAAGCTCTACAAATCCAGTGAATTTGACAGTACAAACGAGAGTATGTTGCTGATAAATGCCATGCAAAATACACAAGGGATAAGCCCTAGAATACATCGTCGACTTAGTCAGTTTAGTCAGTCTATTCGACAGCATCTACAATTCGCCCATCAGTTTATGCCAGTTAACAGCACGTGACAAAAATGATAAAATTGTTTACATTATGTGTGTATTGATATTCGAAAATATATTCTTTGTATGAAAATGATGAGATGCTAAGAACGATGTTAAGTAAAACAAGGTAGTCAACCAGTCTGTAGTCAATGACCATTTGTTTCATTATTTATATATTCACATCAAAATTGTAAAATTATTATCACTAGTTGATGAAGTCTGTTCTGAATACTGAATGATGTTTTATGGGCGATTCTATTAGTTTCTTTTATGCTCGAAAGGTTAACTTTCTAGTTTTATTTCGAATTTCTTTCTGTGTACAGTACTTTTTTTTTTTTCAAGAGATGACCATTGAATATACTACAACATAAAAAAATTCCTTTAGCATAACATATTTATTAAACATACAAAACTCAGGTGATGCTAAACTAAGGTGTCAACTTATGACAACAATACTATAAATCTGAACAAGGATGATGCTTATAATATACTGCATCAGGTTGCTATGCAGGTGTCCCACAATGCAGATTGACTTCCCCCATGCAAGCTCAAGGGCAAGGTCTAATGCCACCATGAAGCTGTCATGCAGGCCTACTCCCACCACGCAGGCCCACTGCTACCTATGTAAGTCCACTTGTCACCATGCAGGTTCACCTATTATGCAGCCTCTCTGCTGCTATGCAGGCCTGCCAATTGCATATCTGGGCTGATGGGGAAGATCATAATGTGGGAAGGGGTCGATGATTAGGTGTGGGGCACTAGCTTGCAAAATAATGTAATTTTAGGTGATTACTTGAGTGTGATTTTTTTGGGGGACAAATATTTTTTGGAGGGGTGTGCATATTTATACACAAATTATGTGAAGGGCTATTCTTAAAGACTTGCAAGTGACCTATCAGTGCAATGACTATTTTCAACAAAAATCAATGTACATCTATTTTTAACCTAATCCATAAAACCAAACTAGCTTATCATTTTATTTACTCGATATTCAACGTTCCAAGTTCTTCTAAATCTTGCATAAATCAATGTTGGAAGATTAAGTACCAGTATTACACATAAACAGTGACCTTTCAACTTGAAATAGAAAGCTATTAAGCGATAACATGTACTGCCTAACCAATCATAAAATTGAGTGGGATTGTAAACAATGCATCACAAAATATTGCAACTAAACCGCAAAAGCTAAATTTTAATGTCATTGAAACAAAGATCAGCTGTGACAAGCAGAATACAACACTTGCAAGATAATTTTCATAACCTATGTAAATATTCAATAAATCTATTATTACACTATTAACAGCTACACCAATTTGTATCCCTGACAGACTATTCTTACAATAATCTCATTTCTCACAGTCACCTGTTAGAAAAATAATTTTTAAAACTATGAAATAAATCTTTATATATAATTAAAGGTGTTATTGTTTGCAGCATGCGATTTTATAACATACATCTTCGCACAAACTACAAAAATGGCTTCACATATACCTATCTTACATATTGCTATACAAAAAGATGGCATTTCCCATCATGCACTGCATATCCCTTCATGCAATGCACCCACCAATTAATATTATGAAAAAAAAAACACTTAACTAGAACAGCATAATTTACAAGTCGCGTATAAAACCTAGATATCTTCTAATCTACTACTTTGCATTTCAAGACAATATGGCACATTGCTAATGCATAGCCTGATACAGCACCATGTTCTCTAACCATAGCTTTTAAAATACACAACAGTTGAACTTGCCTAAGTCAAATCCAAAATGCCATTGAAAAATTGTTTGACTTAATTAAAATTTGACTCACAGATTGTTAATTTATTGAAAACACAACAATTTGGCATGTAAAATAAGTTCGACTTAGAAATTATTAGAGTTAGGCAAACAAGTTTAACTGTACCTCTTGTAACCACTAAAATCAGGTTTTTGTGAGCTTTTTAAAGAAAATCAGGGTACCTTTCAGATAGGACATTAAGGGGTTGGGCCTATGTTCACAACTGTTCTGTGCTCAAAGTATACGGACCAATTAATTTCAGTTCAAGAGTAAATGCAAGTACTGTGGTTCTCAAAAGGGATTGTTGCTTACATATAAAGGTTTGCTATACATTTTCTATTGGTAATCCTTCACCCAGGTGCCTAAATATATGAATCTGAATACATTAACACAATCTTTTTGTTCAACGATTGAGAATTTCTTACAATAAAAACAGAAAAGTGTAGGTCAACTTACATGTTGAGATTAATGTTGCTCTTGCAACAATAAAAAAAGCACACTAAATATTTACAGAGATAAAAAAAACTAAAGTAGAAAACCTACAAGAAATATATATATATATATATATATATATGCATATATATATATTTATTTATTTTTTATAGAGCACATAACAAAAAGAAGTACAGTACTGTATTTACATATAAAATTTAAAAAAAAACCTAAAAGGAAAACGTTTGGCAACTGAGTTGGCAAATAGTATTAAATAAACCAACAGTAGAATTACAACTGTTGCAACCAGTAGCAGTGAAAGGACGGAGCACTTCCTTCAGACTCAGAAGGGTATTTTTATCGTGTGTGCATTTCAGTGGTAGATTAGAGGCTCACTGTTCATTTATCGCTTGGTTAGAATTATTTTGTAATCATCTAGCCTAGTCCTAGATATCAACAAGGTATAAAACTATTGGCAGGTTGCTTGCTACCAGCAGTTTAACAATAATACTTACACCTAATTTCAGCATTTAATATATTTAAACTTTAGTCTGGCAATTGGTCAATTCTATATTGTATAGAAATACATATACACTGCAGCTGGAGGCATAAAAATTCCCTATGCTCTATCATAGCATTTTGATTTACTACACTGATTAATCAGTCTATCGCAAGCTAACAACTTAAGACAGACATAATGACTTTTAAAAGCCCTCAGAACCCCTGCAATACCTAAGCTGCAATCCAATGGCTTTGACACATATTTGTGCACCCATATACCCTCCTAATGGCAATCCTGGATACAGCTCTATATCCTACCTAACAGACATAGCTTTTCTAGCACAACAGTGCTATTAATCATGTTTTCAGTAGCCATAACCAATAATTGGTCACCTGGTATTTTAGCGCTATAAAAGAACGACATATTATTATTATTATCAGTGGCTCATGTTATCAACATCAGGGGCCACCTGTTATTAACAGCCATCTGCTATCCGTGGCCACCTGATATCAACCAGTGACCACATGTTAATAATATCCACATGCTTTCAGTAGCCATAACCAATAAATGGTCACCTGGTGTCAGTGGCTCATGTGATCAACAAACCACTTGTAACCAGGGGCCACCTGTTATCAACAGCCATCTGGTATCAGTGGCCACCTGATATCAACCAGTGACCAGGGGTGGCGCCAGGGGGGACAGAGCCCACCGTTGGGGAGAAAAAGAAATTATATGTATTTTCTACATATTAGTAGACTCTAAAATCAATAGAGTAAGCCTTTTGAAACCCCAAAATTGTCAAGAGTTTTGGGTGCTTTCGGGATATTTTGAGCGATGCCCAACCACGCCAACTCATATCAGTGGCCACCAGCTGCCAGTGATCAATTGCATATATGAATGTAAGGTAGTTGAGTTTTTACTTTTGAAAAATATGATCTGATACAGGCCATGGAATGAAAAATTGTAAAGATTTAATTAAGTACTGTACTGGACAACACAGATACCAGAAAGAGTGTACAGTATTAGTACAATAAGGATGAATTTCCAACTGGACAACTGATATTATCAACAATAAAATACAGTTTATACATGCAAGGTAAAAGTTTGTTTAAAATACAGTGCATGTTGCAAAAATACAAGGGATCAGGGGAATAGTTCATTCCATGCATTTGGAAATTTGATGGTCCTGAGTTGAAGTATTAAAATGATTGAACACTCGGTGGATATGAATGGCTTTTTAGGAATAGATGGTAATAACTTCACGACCTCCTCCGCGTACCATTAAAACACGCTCAAGACCCTCGGTTAAAACTTCAAGGTATTCCATATCTAAAGATAGTATAGTTAAGGAAAATCACAGAATGCATTCTCAAGAACCGGAGGTTTTGAAGGATTTTTTGACAATTCTGAAAAAAAAGAAGCTATTTATTGGCCTTAACTGTTACAGGGGAAGAGCCATTATTTAGCCGTTTTTATTTTCTTCTTCTGACCCATTTGCCTATTTTTATTTTCAGTTTTCTACTCAGTAAAAGGATACAGTTTTGTTCTTTACGTTGAAGCTTTGGTGGTCCTGGCAAATTCAATATAACAAGCTGGGCCTTGTGCGACTTCTCCACAATGATCTCATTCAATCGCACGGCTGTATGCATCCTTCTCACATTCCGATCCGATCTAAAAATAGGAAATTCAGCATTCAGAGATGGATGCAGCACAAAGGTATGAAGTGAAAAATCAAGGGTGCAATTATGAGAATGACCACTAGTGTTATGGACATTTCACATATACCATGGTCATTCTTTTTATTCCATGTGCCTACAAAACTGCTAACCATCGCACAAACACACTAATCGCTCCTATCAGAGTTTGCAGGTCGCTCCACATTACATACATATGATTGTGTCCATGCGGGAACACAATGGACTTAATCAAAACAGTATTGAGATTTGTAAATGATCAGCATAAAAATGTGTTAATATGCTCTGAACATTATTTTAGGATAAAAAAGTTAGTGGAAGACATACTAAGCTCACCCTGGTGAATTGGCAAGATTTAATATAGTGCTACTAATATTAAAGAAAAGAATGATACTTACGGTGTGATATTTAATAATCCATCCGTAGTACTAGGAGTCGCTTCCTCTGGTTCTGTGTCTATCAAGTTAACAGAGTCTGGTTCAGCGACCTCACTAATATCAGCTAACTCGGTAACCTTCAACACTTCCTCGTTTTCAGGATCATCAAATGGTGACGATTCTTGACGTGCAAACCGAACCTTGCGTTCTGTTGTTCTTTCAACAGGCTCATTCTCATGTTCGCTACGTGGAATATGATGGAGGTCAACAATACCTTGGGCCTACAGCACAGGAATGATGATTATTATGAAACACAATAAGATAAATGTGCAAGTAATTGAAAATACAATATCATCTCATAAAATGACGTCACATAAGCCAGGCACACATCTGGTGGTAGCCACTGTGTGTGTGCGCTGAAACGTGGAGATCGCTATGGCCTAGTTCAGACTAGGTGGATAAACCCAGCTCAACTCACCGGGTTTATCCACCTGCCAGTCTCAACTAGGTGGCTTATCTCAAGCCGGGCTATGTTCCTATAGTAACTAGGCCTAGCGCCACCGTGTTGAACTTTTCTAAGCCGGGCTTTAATCGTTGCTGGGGGTCTTGCATTGACTTTGGGTGACAAAATGACCAATCAGCATTCAATTATGTACGCTGTGAGCGAGCGTACGTTTCATGAGCAACGTTTTGAAACACGTTTCCTGGTTACGGTTCATTATTATGCAAATTCTCGTCTGGCTAAACCTGCTAGTCTGAACGCCCAGCAAATTTAAGCCAGGCTTAACGTTGAGTCGGGCTTGCTTATCTCCAGGTCTGAACGTAGCCTATGTCCCTGGTTCAATTCTCATCGCTGCTCACCTTGCATTTCAGCTGGAAGGCTGAATGCAAGATAGGATAGCGCACTGTCTTTATATATATATATATATATATATATATATATATATATATATTGTTATAAATATTATTTATTCTTAATATTAAATTTGTAATAATTTCATATTGTAATAAAATAGTTAAACAAGAACATTATGAACGTATTTGCATACTTAGGAAACCTACATCATATAAGCTTTCTTTACGAGTAAGTTTCATCTGTCGTAACAGTTGGTTCCTCTGCTCCATCAATAGCGTTCTCTCATAGGTGTAAGCCGAGATGTCACAACCAGGCTGAAAAAAAACCAAAAACACCACACCCAGTTAATTAAATTAATAATCAGCATTTCATGGTTGATGCGACAAAAACCTGTGACGTGCTAATATAAGTGGGGTTGAAATCACCACGTCCAAAAAAGGGCAAATCACTGAAAATTTGATAGTGTAGCGAGAGCTTGAATCATGAGAAAGCAATATGCAGGATTTGAACCACAGCCTTGGGTCGGTGGACAAGCACCTTAACCAGGAAGTTGCAGCCCACTCTTAGATTCTTCCAATGTCTTTGTTATGTCCAGTGTTTATTTCTATTAAAACAATGTAAACTTACCAACTCAACAACTTCAATCTCAGCATCAATTCTCAAATGATAAAGGAATGTCTTCAAATCTTTCTTCATCTGTATACTATTATCTTCCATTTCTAATCAAGATAATTTGTTAAGAAATCATTTAAAATGAAAGAACACTTATATATTTATTTATCCACAGAGCCAAATTGAAATACAATGATTTGATTTTTTTTTTTCAACCAAAATTAAACCAAAGGTAGAGTTTCTTATACCAGTGACATCTGAATAAAATCAATTGCTAAGGTTAAAAAAAATAATAAATATGAAAATGCACTGAAATTGGTTGAAAATAACTGATTGGCTTCAACTTCAAGGATATTTTAAAATACAGTGAAAATACCGAAGATAAATAAATATTTTACATTAAAGACTTTAGTTCAGCTCCTTTTACTCCTAAATCCACTGCATTTGGTATGTAAAAACAAATTAAAAATAAAATGAGGATCTTGAAAGTTATAATCTTAATGCTGCCCTTAATGTTACTAAAATAAACAGAGGAAATAACAACAGGTAATGTAACAGCAGAAGGATACGTGCTACAGTGTAGATCTTCATTGTACAATTCCTCCAGGTTTTGTGCTGTCGCAGAAGAAATGGCAACAACATCAACATTCCACCATCATCTGAAGCACAGTTAAGGAAACAATATACAAAAGTATATAAGATAAATATTATAAATGTTATTAAAAACTAGAAAAGTCAAACCAGCTATTTCTCTATGTAAAAGAACATTCTGGAATTTCATATGCATCCACTATTTTAGTATTTCATTGAGCAACACTGTTATGTAAATGAACTATATGATTGCACTGGTTATGCAGATGAGCTTGCTTATTCCATTGGTCAATATAATTCTCTATGCAAATGAGTTACCTGGTTGTGTTGGTTAATATTCTCTATGCACATTAGCACCTGCTTCTATTGGTCAATATCATTTTCCATGCAAATAAACTCTCTGATTCCATTGGTCAATATCATTATGCAAATACCAACTCAACAACTTCAATCTCAACATCAATATGCAGATCAGCTTTCAAATACCATTGATCAATATCATTCTCTATGCAAATTATTTATCTGATTCTATTCACTATCTATGAAGAGTAAATTGACTGTAAAAAGGATACGGACTATCCACCACACATCTATGCTACCGCCTTCCAGCTTCTGGTCGTTGCTTGGGAACAGCATGATGTTCTTTGGCACAAGCAGAGCGTTATGCATTGCTGATACATTACGTACAATATCTAACAAATATCATAGATGTCAAGAAACATTTATAATTTTGATGCAGATGAATAAATTTGGTGACATGAGCACTATTTTGATGACAATACAGTATTTTACATTTGTTCATCATTGATTGCCTCATTTCAACCACTATTTTCATAATTTTTAAAAGAAATTTAATTAAAAACTTATAAAAATATAAATCACTTCTATTCAATAAGACTCATTTGTAAAAAATCATGGCCAATGGCCAAACTGCACATTTCAATTACAAGAGTACAGAGTTTAAAAAATAATATTAAAATGAAATAATAATGAGAAAAATAAATGAGAATGTACCAAGAAAAACTCTAAATGATCTTTCATCAGTAGACTGTCGCCAGCCGTAGGGCCACCCGGCAATTACAGTGTTGTGTTGTAGTCCACCTAAACCAGACATCTGCACACTGAAACAGAACACAACATTACAATTAGTACATTTCTAATAATAACAATTAGTATTACTGTACAATAATATTTTTATATCCCTACTGATAGCCCCACACTTATATCCCTACTATTGCTAGCTCCAAGTTAAGATCCTCACTCCTACTCATAGCTCACACTTATTATCCCATTTTCTTCACTTTTACTCTCACATCCCCACTCTTATTTATACACAATGAGTGTCTCTTACCATGCAGATATACCCTCGCTGACATCTTTAGCAATGAGAAGCTGGTGAAACCCTTTTACTTTTTCTTCTATCATCACTTTTTTCAGTTCCTGGTGTTAAAGAACATGTACATCATTAACATATTTATGGTGAGTCTTATCTGATTTGATGGACTGTTAAGATTGATTAAAATGATGAATAAAATGAATGATTAGTTGGTTCACTAGAATGATTGATTGATAGATTAATTGATTAGGTTATTGGAGGGGGTTGATTCATGGATTAAGATAGATGAATTGATTGATTGGTTGGTTGCTAAACTATGTGTGAAAATTGATTAAAATGACAAATGGAATGATTGATTAGTTGGTTCACTAGATTAATTTATTGAATAAGTAATAACTATGTGTGAGGGTAATATATACCTATAGGTCTGTGTGATCTAAAGGTATGTATATACATACATATGAGACATACCAACATAATGAGAATACAAATTTAACACATGAAACGGTAAATTATTTACCTGTGCAGCTGCTTGGCTTTCTGGGTATTTAGCAGCATAATCACCTGGAATGACGGAACTGACGAGGGTCAAACCACGACCTGCTTTTAACTGGCTGGCAAAACTTAACAGCTTGCGATGTTTAGGAATTAGATTCTCATCCATCTTGCAAAGAACTAAGACCTGAGGCCTACAAAAATAAGTTTATTAATCTTGTTTACTGTTTAAAACTATTCTCATTTATTTTGCAAGGAAGCATAAATCTCTACTACTTTAACTTATATACAATAATTTATTTATGTTAATGTTGTTTGCACTAGGCAAATTACCTCCAATTTTTTGTGTGTGGTGGGCCTTCCTCCAGCCTTAGTAAGCTATATCTTGCTGCTTGTAATGACAAACCACGCAGACCATCTCCCCACTCCTTTTCAGCCCTGATTAAAATAAATTTAATAATCATTGGTATTAAATTCAATAACAGTTAAATAACAATAATAATTAAGACAATAATACTATGCAATAATAACAACAATAATCATGAAGTAGATATTTTGAGCTGGTCTATCAGCTCTAGCAAAATGGGCTGAAATATTTTTTGCTATGGCATTGACTTTTTGAAGAGACATAATTATAATAGCAACAGCAACAATGATAATAATACAATTAATTGATATGAGCAAACTCGACATCTTACCCTCTGTATTCAATGTACTTATATATGCACCCAGCTAGCGCCATTGCTGCCAGGGCATAATACCAACTAGATATAAACATCAGAGACACACACATAATCATGCCGATGAACGACAGCAACCAATGGTAGTACTTAAAACGAGGGCGCCAGTTAGGTGTCTTCAACAACGTTTGCAGTGCGCACGCTAGGTTCACGAACATGTAACACATCAAGAAAAACCTGGAAAAAAAAAGTGGAAAAGACTTTGTGCAAGATTATGTAAAAGCTACTGCATATCATAATATAATTGAATTATTACTAATATAAACAATACATATTAGAAAATATTAATGCTAATAAAAAGAATATAGGTTCCATTATTTCAAGAATAGGTTTTTCTCCAACTTCAAATTCAATGTTTCTTTTAAACTTTCTAGTGTTTTTTTCTGAATTCTACCAGGTTAATACATTTTGTTATTTTCTATTCAAACTTACATTGTGATTATAGGAGCAACTGAGTCAAGCTTTGCGATAACAATTCCGAGTTCGGAGATAGCAACCGTCAAAAGTAGAGCCCAAGTGGGTTCACCTGTCGCTGAGCCTTTACCGAACACAGATAGGAATGGAATGATGTTATCTTTAGCAATAGCCTGCAGTAACCGAGGGGCTCCGGTCAAACTTTGAAGTCCAGCTCCAATGGTGGATAAGAACGAACCAATCAAAATGACCCATTCTGAAGGCCACGCTATGTTGGCTACAAGAAGTCTGCCATCTATACTTTCACCGAATCTAGAAAGAAAAATGTGATTATAAATAAAGCCCTGTCCAAACTATCAAATCTTATTGACAACATGTGACATGACTAAATATGGTCATGATGACATCACATCATGACCATATATATACACACACCATGACTTAAAGGCGAGTCGAATGGCTGAGCGTTTACGGCAAGGGCACCGCAACTTACTGCCATTACATCGGCGGTGGTTCGAATGGCACACGCTTTCCTACAGTTCTGGTGGTGGAACAATACCTCTCGGATAAGGACACTTATGTGCACTTTAACGAACTTAGTACATCTTTTGAGATGAGTAAGAGGGTTTCCCCAGGGTACTGATTCATACAGCCCCAATTGTGGACAGACGAGAGATAGCTGGTACCAGTTTACCGGGGAGCCCAGACACGAAGAGACCCTTAGGGGAGAAGCAAGTTCTTGTACAAGTTAGTCTACACCTCAAGCGCTTTGAGATTTTGGTATAAAGCGCCATATAAATCAAACTACATTACATATTTGGGCACACAACATTAAAATAAACCCGTAGCCCACAACAGGATGGCAATCAGAGATGTTTGCATTTTTAACAGAGATGGATTAAAGCATGACAAAATATAAATATATAGATATAATATAAATATATAAATTTATATATATTTCTGGGTCTAGAACTAATGATAAATTTCCATTGTGTCTTTGTCTATTTCCATAATATGTCCATAATTTCTGCAGCAAATACGGAAGTTAGAACTTGAGAATTCTGCATTAAATTAAGTAAATTAAAAGCTTTTTAGGGGTATAATATTTAAACTGGGAAATCCCAAGGATAATGTCATTAGGTTGTCTAGGCTCAGATTACGATAACAGGAAACGGACACTGATCGAATGATGATGATGTGTTAAATCTAAGCTGGCATTTTGCCCACTTTCATCTAATTATAGCCTTCGCAAAAAATACAAAATTTCAATAAGAATGGCCTGCTTGTATATAGCCCTTCTGAAAAATTCAAAATTGCTTCCAGGTGCAATATATAATCACCACAGACTACTACTAAAATGTGTATAAGAGACAGTATATGTATAGATTAAAAGGCAAAATACTGGAAAAAAACAATGCTGTGGGAAACAATGGCTGGATCTCAGTAGAGATACAAAAATGATAAGCAACAGCTAAAAAGTAAACGTAAGTAAACAGCCAGAAATAGAACCAGAGCTTTCGGACAACACTAGTCCTTCCTCAGTGGCGAGTGATATATATATATATATATATATATATGGTATTGGTGTTAAAATACTCTTTTCCTTGTAACTTTCATCTCACAGATAATCATATTCATTCTGTCTTATCGCTTATTAGCAGGCACTACTTTTTATTTACTCTGTTCATCTATTAAGATATATATGAGCCAAAAATTAACAGCGACCTTAATTACCATCTGTAAATATTTGTCAAATTCTTCCTCACAACACATACACATGATGCTCTCCATAAACTAAATCTTGTTATGTTACTTAAGCAGTGGTGTTATTTTTTATCAGGTTTAGAGATGCTTTCATCAAACAGCACTTAAATCCAGGCAGAGTGATATATCAAGCAAAATGTCATATTTGTTATAGTGAATTAAACTCATAGCTTTATCACAAAAATATGCGTACAGTGCCAAAAGCTTCACAAATTTTTCACACCATGTAATTGACAAGTTAATGCTAAATGAGAATAAATTATAAAAACACATTTTCTTCAACTTACTTATCTCGAAGGATTTCTCCTCTTACCGCACCAGCAAAGAAGAGCACACATGTCATATCTATTATTTCTGGTTAAGGATTTTTTTTTCAAAATTTATCTTGTTCATGTATATATATTAGACTTTGCTATGTTCAGACATGACGACTTACGGTAGCATAGCGTTAATCAAGCGGTGTGAACTTGTGCGCGGCGTAGCGGACTCCAGTATTATCAAGCAATCACTGGCGTACGTTAATCCAGCAACAGACCCCAGATTAGCGTACACCACTGAGTTACGGCTGTCATGCATCAATGGTTTTGAAGTTGCCAAGATTTGACCAATCACAATAGCCTAGATGTAAACAGAAAATAAAACGCGCAATTACGAATACGAATATTTCATGTGGATACTTACGCTAGCGTTTGTTAATCGCCCAGTCTGGATATCTTGCGTTAGATATGACTGCCGTATCTCGGAACGGAGTTTGTATTAACCTAGTGTAAACTAAACACAGCTGATGTTTATTGACGTTGAGAGGGTGTTGTTCATATTTTCACGTAATTATGTGAACCAAAGGATACAGATGAAACTGGTGGTAAAGATGGCTCCAAGTGTACCACGTGGAATTGAAAACTGCGCATCTTTGAGATCACCTGACCTGTTGCTTCCCGCCATTATACCTAACAATGAAAAAAACAAGGACAATCATTTAATTTGTTAATAATTATGTAATTAGTTACACAGCAAAAAAAAAACAAAACAAATAAAAACATGTCCTTAGTTCAACTTCAGCTAATGTTTTTTAACATGGCTCACTCATTGGTTAATTATGTGCTGCACCACAGCAAATCACACGATTTCAATGTATTCATATAAGAATTAATGTCTGACTGTCAACAATTAATCTAAATAGTAAATAAAGAAAACAAAATATTTATGAACACCTGAACACCTGTTTATTAGTTTCACATCTTTATTTCATAAGCTTTATTATAAATCAAAACTGGTAAATAAAACATTAAAACAATAATTTTATTACTGGTTTTTAATTTGTATATGTAATACTATCAAATTGAATATATAACTAACTAAACTCACCAGTTACTGATGGGAAGAAGATGGCTAGGAGTATAGTAAAAGATGTTGTAATGTCAGCCACTACTTCCGACCCACCGCCATTTGGAAGTTGTCGTGGTAACACCTCTCCACCTGCTCGGTATAAATTCTTCAAATTTTCTGAACAAAGAGTACAATCAGGATTATCTTAAAAATCTAATTATATAAATTAAAGTGGAAAAACAAAACAAAATTTGTAAAAGTCTTACTAATTTTGCTTCCCCTAAATATAAAACATAAAATAAAAAGTATCTAAATTTGTCAGTGGAAGACACTTCTATCAATGGGTTTATGATTTGAGATTTAGGGCAATATCATAAATGAGCTTCATCATCGTCCTCAGCACAATCTAGGACCAGGAGTTTTGGGGGTTTGGCTGAACCACCCTTATTGAACAGTTCACTACTTTAGTGGTATTTTATCATAACCTTTTTCTATTAAAGAAACACTTCTGAGTTAAACTTGGCCTATAGGAAACTTCCCTTTACATGAACCTGGTGCTATTGCTATGCTTACAACTACCACATTAATTATTATTAATACCACTATAACCACCACCACAATAACTACTGTACCAACACCACTACTACCACCACCACCACCACAATAATTACCAACACCACCTATCACCACACCACAATAACTACCAACCCACCATCACCACCACCACCACCACCACCATCACCACCACCCCCACCACCACCACAATAACTACCAACACCACTATCACCACCACCACAATAACTACCAACACCACTATCACCACCACCACCACAATAATTATCAACACCACTATCACTACCACCACGATAACTACCAACACCAATATCACCACCACCACCACAATAACTACTGTACCAACACCACTATCTCTACAACCACAATAACAAACAACACCACTATCAATACCACCACAATAACTACCAACACCACTATCACCACCACAATAACTACTATCACCACCACCACAATAACTACCAACACCACTATCACCACAATAACTACCAACACCAATATCACCACCACCACAATAACTACCAACACCACTATCTCTACTACCACAATAACTACCAACACCACTATCACCACAACCACAATAATTATCAATACCACTATCACCACTACCACAATAACAATTGTACCAACACCACACTACAATAACTACCAATTTACCACTATCACCACCACCAAAATAACTACCAACACCACTATCATCCTCACCACCACCTTCATTATCACCATTGCTATGGCCACTTTACCTTTGAATAATCCATTTCCAAGACCTGGTATTGCATCTGTCATGTTGACATAATGCTTCTTTAGGAAACTGGAACATTCATCGCCAACTACATCATTTGCATCGCAGAAAGTCATTCCAAGGTCACTAAGGTGAGATGTGTTTCCTTGTACATAAAACGTACATTCTTCAACAGATCGATATTCAGTAGTCAAAGATATATTGCCATCTAAACAACAAAACCTTGACAATGCAGGCAGAAGAAAAATACATTTTATTTCTATTTAGAATAATGATTATTGGCTAGTGGCGGGTTCACAAAAGAAGGTTCACTTGTGTAGAGCAAACAACAGAAATAATAGATTAGTAGTTTCTCTACCACAATGAAAATATTTGTTGATGGGAAATTCATTTTTGCTGTTAAGTTGAATTTGGGGATGTTGTATAGTAGTATGCCTATCATAGCACAACCAATAACTACTGAAAATATGTCCTCTACTAATGCACCAGCAGAACTTGTAGGCCTATATTTCTGGCCATAGCTGTCTTACAATTCAACTTATAAGCTATACTTCTGCCTTTATTCTGTTGTGGCGATTCAATTTCTTTTATCTAATAAATGTTCAAGCAAGGTAATTGCAATCTGATTTATGTCTTGCTATATCTACTTAAATCTTATGAAGTTAACCAAATGAACAGTAATAGCATCATTAGTGAACTCCTTGATTACTTGCTTGCAAAAACCACCTTTAAATTATCCATGTATCCAATACAACTGGTAGATTGCCAGAATCTTGTTATATAGTATGATTATAATAAAATAATATAGATATACAGTTTGTGATGAGCTTCAGTAATAAACTGAGCAATAAAATTTAAGAGAGAGCATCGTCAATCACATATAATGAATAAGAAAACATACTCAATGGTAAAAAGATATCACTCTCAAAATTACTTTTCCTAATGCATGTTGCACTTTCATATATAACAGGAAACTGTGGGGGACTACCAAGTCAATAAGAAATTGAAATACATTATCATTTTTTTCCTTTCAATAAAATATTTGAACAGCAAAATATATAATATAAACTTACTGCAAATCGTTGGGTACAAAGACACCGATGTATATACAACAGATGGAGACAATAACGCAGAAAAGAAACAAGAGGGCACACTTGTTCACATACTTGACACCGACAAATACAAGAAGCGAGAGAATCAATAAAATGACTGTTCCATAGACTCGCATGTTGTTCAACATGTCTGGTGAATTACTCGTAGTTCCACTTCCATCTTCATCAAAAATTGCGATTGGAGGAGCTATGTATATCTTAGGAACAAACAAAATTTTATTCAGTACATGTAGTAAAATATTGTGAATTTATTGTATTGATTACATTTTTGATGTTTATTGCAATTTTCGCCTGTAAGAGTTCCTGTTAGACGACCGTTATAAAATTAAAAAAAATATCAATTAACTACTGTAAACACTTGCAAGGGCTAAGGTTCCAACAGTGTTCTGTGACAAAATTGTTGCCTTCTCCTCGCCAGTGAGGGTTCTATAGACCTTTCCCAGGAGGCGGAACAATGACTTTTTTTAAGAGAGCTCAAACTCTATATTTATAAATTCTTAATTCAGGCAGAAATGTTACAGACTTTTTCTAATGTCTAATGTAATAGTCATGGCATTTTTGGTACATTCCCCAGAGTGCAATTGCCATTTAGAGAGGTAAGGCAAATTGTATCTGCTTTTAATAAAATTAGATATTTAATAATCCACTGTACCGCTGACGCTAGATTATACCGAGTCTCAGATGGAGGGGATGGGGTGGGGGGGGAGTAATAAAGTTCTTGTGTATTGCCATAATATCTATCCAAAAATGTTTTCAAGCAATAAAGCACAATTACATGACCAATAATAAATGTATGCAAAAATTCATAACCAACATGTGTTTGGAAATTCAGGTTTGCTTGTTTACAATCTTTTGACGAAAATGATGACAACAGCGTCACAGACGTATGGATGAAGATATTGAAATGGTTAAAAAAAACAAAACCAAAAGTCAATATCAAAGTAAACAATGCAAATATATATACATTTTATTTTGTTGCCATTTTATATTAACACAAACAGTGAATCTTAAACAATTTTGTACACTAAAACTTACAAGCAAGATCTCAATGGCACCAAGAATATACATGGAGGAAGCAAATGTTGTACCAAGATAGAAAAGGACACCAACAGCACCACCAAACTCGGGTCCTAGAGCTCTGGAGATCATAAAATACGAACCTCCAGCTGGAACAACACCATTTGTTGCTATCGCACTCATTGAGATGGCAGTTAAAGCAGTCTGGGAAATAATATAATATAATTATTATATATAATACAATATATATAATTAAAATAATATGAAAATTCATAAAAAGAATTATATACTGCATATATAGATTCTAGGCATCTGACTGGTTAAGAAGCGGGCAATAAAATGTACTGTTACCCTATGGAATAGTACTTTTTTGCCCTGCCACGCGATGTGCAATCTCTAGGCCATGTTGCTATGTAATTTATGAGGCGCACAAACGGTAAAGGATACGCGACCTCTACGATGCTGAGAGAGATTGGCCTTTTGACCGCCTAGGCCTAGGAAGCAAGCCTAGGCTTACTTGGTATGTACTATTTCCATTACTCTTTAGGTCTTGTAGAACCTATGTATGAGGCATTTAAAACAAATATGGACTGCTCTAGATTTGGGGAACGGTGAAATCTACAACCCCTCGGTGATGCGTAGACCATAGCCCTTGGGAAGATAGGCTACAGTATCCACAATAGATTTCACCATTCCCCTCATGAACAGTCAATATTTGTATAATATATAATGTATAAAATAAGTGTATATAAGACAGTCTTATTATTGTTTTTCATATCATCATCACCGGCATCATTATATTTAACTAGTGAAGCATATTAAATGAATGCCTTATCATCTATTGATGGAGGAAAAGTTATAGCTTACGGTTGCACATGAAATGAGTATAATGAAGAAACTTTCAAGGGCTCCAGCATTGCCTACAATCCACGTTAAACGGATGAACAAGATAACGCCGAGAATGTTTTGCAGACAAGGTAGGTATACACCTGTCTCTTATACACATCTAGATGTGTATAAGAGACAGCCAACACCACTATCACCACCACCACAAT